ATTCTTCTGCCAATTCACTAAAACTTACAATAAAATGTTTAAATGCAAGAAATCAGTAAATTAATCTTATTGTTATGAAATTTAAAAGAAATATTTCGTTCAAAACATCCAACTAGTCATTAGATGAAACATTCATCACTAGAAGACGTCGGAGATTTCATTAATCCAGATACTACTTAATATAGCTAGCTCTATTCGCGACCAGCAATACATATACATAGAACAGTTTTAATGTTGCTTTTATGTTTACTTATTGCTTTCGAGAAATTCTATTATTTTCTTTACGAAGATCCTTTTCTTGATCTGTAGAAAAGCTTTGCTCTGTTCTAACTCTTTTCTCCTCCGTTCTAATACGAAAAGCTTCTTTGTCCGCATCAAACGGTCCTCATAACACCATGATGACCCATTAACTAATCAAACTTTCAAAATTATGGAAACTTAGGATGTTTTTACTAGAATATATTTGAATCTTAGGTTTTTGAGCTGAAAATGATTTCTATTCTTTTAAAGCTCTAAGAATTTCTACTACAACCCTTAAGATCTATGTCATTTTCTGTAAACTATTTGAAAGAAAATCTACGACAAAAAAATGAGACACAGTAGAAGATTCCATTGAAAATTTGCCGTGTTCGAACACAAGAGAAAGAGTTTTTTAATTTGTGAGATCTTTTACATGAAGCTTAGAAATATTATTTTCTAGATCTGAAAATAATGTCTAACAATGATTTACAAAAAATATCTGCTACATTTCAAAACTTTGCTGGTAAACATTTCAAACATAACTGTAACAGTATTTACAATGTCGTGAATATTAATAGCATAATATGAAACGTTATTCTTGAAATTTTAAAAACATCAATGATCAATATGCACAGCCATTAAATTCGGGTAATATAGCTCTTCTACAATATTGAATGAATAATATTTCATTTCTAGAATCAACAACATCATGCATGTATTTTCGCTACCTTCGATGATGAAAAATTTTTGACGATTCCTTCATGTTCTGTAACAATCCTTCTTACTCTGATATCTTCGAGCTGCTCCTAGTTTAAATCTTTTTCTGTGATGTTTTGGAACAAGAATTTTCGACTTACCACTTTATCAAGGTCAAAGATCATCTATAGGCATTGTACATTCACAGGTTATTTTTATGTCAATATCAATTTTTATTCATTTTTTTTATTCTTTAATAGTATATATTGAATCTGTAATGTATTTATTTATCTTTAATATTTATATAATTGATTTGTGTTCAATTTGTTACATTTCTTATGATGATATGGAATTCATACATGAAAGATGGTTTGTCAACAAATGATACTGTTAGATTACATAAAAGCTACAGTCACCATCAAAATTATTCAACTAGGTATAAATTCGATTTTTCGTTCTTGCAGTAGATACTATCAAGAATTTAAATAGTAATTTGGATAAAGAAAACTGTTTCCAACAAAGTCATGTCAGTATATTTCTAAAATCAAGATTTTCAGCATCCCAAATCCGATAACAAAGTTTTGTTTAGAAAACGAAGAACGATAGAACAAAACATTCTGAGCAAAATTAGATGCCTTCAAGCTCTCCATGACATTTTTTTTGTTGAGCTACACCGAATTTACAGCAGGTACAAAAGACACTTTCTACTATCTCTAATCAGCAACACACAAAAAAGTCGTGGAGAGCTCGAAGACGTTTCATTTTATTGAGATGTTCTGCTTGATCATCCTCCATTATCTAAGGCAAATTTTTGTCATGGAACTTTGAAAGTGAAAAACTTATAATTCTATTTTTTTTTGTAGAAACTGTAACTTCTGGCAATATACCAAGGAATTTAATTTTCTCTATGCAAATTACTATTTATACGATTGATAGCACCTACTACAAGAATGAAAAATTGAATTTACACTTGGTTGGATGATTTTGATAGTAACTGTATATGAGTTCAAAAAGGATTGAACAATGATCTTCTGTTTTAATTCAAATGTTATTGATGGTGTTATTTTTCTGAATAGTAATCATTTCTAGTTATATATAATCATGATTCAACATCAAGTTTATAAAATGTTAGCCTTTAAAACTGCAGACTTTTTGTTTATGACAATATTTCACCAAAATAGCTGATATTCGTGGAACTGATGGCGACGAGAATAATATAATATACATATTTGGACAACCATTAACTATGTGGTGACACTTAATACTGTTTAAACTGTTTTCACCATAAACAATAAATTGTTATCTGTATTTTTATTGAAGTCTACAAGAATCTATTGTATGATTGAATAAAATTGTAAAAATAAAATGTCATCAATTAAGCAAGAATATCCTAATAGATTAGGTTAGATGTCAAAATGAAAAGAGATAATAAAAGTATCTTTCTTGTATATACTTTTGCATTATAAATAAAATTTGACCTTGGATAAAAATGATTCATTTTAACTATTTTTTATTTTTTTCAGATGAGAGTTGCTGATGACCTTGAACTCGCAATATGTTTGTCATGTTGTTTTATGTCATTACAAAAAAAAACAAAAAAGATTTCTTATCATTACGATATTCAAAATTATTTTCGTACGTCTCTTGTGTAAAAGTCTTGCAGATGTTCATGTCTTTTAATAATACTACTTTTCTTTAGTGATCAAAGTTAGCCAAAATTTATCTTAATAAGTTGATATAATCATGTGATGTGAATTGAAAACACAGCTTTAGTAAACAAAAATAACTTTTTTTTCGGACTTCATCAAGGAGCTTATCAACAATGTAATAGTGAAAGCTCAAATTACTAGTTTAAATAATGACACATGCTGATCCAGACGTAGGATATCTTATGTCAGGATTCGAGTATATTCTGAAAATATTCGTCATGAGGCTGGCTCCAAAAGACATCGCATTGGCTCCAAGTAGACCTCGACGAGCTCTATCGACTCCATTAATTACTTTCTCCAAAGCCTCCTCAAACCGGAGAAAAGTCCAAAATACGGCAAAAAAATGCTAAAAAAACCCATACAGTTTAGAAAGATCCGTCGCGATTCGCTCCTGAGTGGCTCCAACAAAAATAAAACATACCACTCCATAGATCTCGATGAGCTCTATCGATTCTACATATCATTTTTCGAATTTGAGCAAATCATCACCGAGAAAATTCCTAATTAGTCCTTTGTTCATACATATGATGGTTAGGACTTGGGAATACCGCTCGAAAATCCTTCCTGAGTTGACTCCAACAAAAAAAATTAACCGTCTCGAATCTGCTGCAGAGGACTTCTTGTATGTATAACACATTTTCTGTATTAAATTCTTTTCTTTGTAATGTTATCTATTCAAAATAATCAAATAACAATATAATAAATTTCACAATTTCTAATATATCATCTATAGTGGGTAAAGTTTAAAATAAAAGACACAATATCTATAAACAACAAGCACATAGTCGCCAGTAATCTATTGACAAAGATAAATAGCGTCAGCTCCCTGTCTATATGGCTAATAAAGACACTAAAAACTCATAGCCAATTTTATAGCTTGATCAAGATACATACACAACAGCACTTTTGATAAACAACGCCGTATAACTTCCTTATACATTGAAACATATCACACCTATAATAATAATCAGATGATCAAAAGGAACAGTCAGAGTCATTAGTGACACATAACGAATATTCTAGAACAAAAAAATCTAACGTAAGATCGACACAACTATGCAAAATTCATTTTGAGTCACCTTCACTTTTCTTAGAGTCGACTCATGAACGAATCTAGATGGACTTTCACAAATTCTATACACCAAACATATGAACAAAGGAATAATTAAGAATTTTCGAATTAACGATTTACTTGGTTCTGATGAGTGAGGTGTGGAATCCATAGAGCTCATCGAGATCTATCTGGAGTCGCCCTTAGTTTTGTTGAAGCCGACTCATCAAGGGTTTTGGGTCGGTATTCCCGAGTCGCAACTACCATGTGAACGAACAAGGGATTAATTAAGAATTTTCTCAGTGATAATTGGGTCGAATTTGACAAGTGTGGTATAGAATCGATAGAGCTCGTCGAGATCTATTTGGAGCCGTCGTTAGTTTTATTGGAGCCGACTCCGGAAGGATTTTCGAGCGGTATTCCCAAGTCCTAACCATCACATGTATGAACAAAGGACTAATTAGGAATTTTCTCGGTGATGATTTGCTCAAATTCGAAAAATGATATGTAGAATCGATAGAGCTCATCGAGATCTATCTGGAGCCATCCTTAGTTTTATTGGAGCCGACTCATGAAGGAGTGAGAAAAAGTTTTTCTGAAATTGTTTTATGTGTATATATGAATATAGCAGCTATAGAAGTAATTAGCGATTTTCTCAAGAATGGCTTACTCGAATTTGACGAGTGACGTGTGGATTGGATAGAGCTCGTCAAGATCTATTGAATGGTATCGTTAGTTTTGGTGGAGCCAATTGATGGACGAATCGCCATAGTAGTAAAGTTCAAAGAACTTAGTGGCGGCTTCCTAATTAATGGTTGAGTCTAATTGAAAGAATAGGGTATGGAGTTGATAGAGCTCGTCGAGATCGATGGAGTGGTATGTTTTATTTTTGTTGGAGCCACTCAGGAGCGAATCGCGACGGATCTTTCTAAACTGTATGGGTTTTTTTAGCATCTTTTTGCGGTATTTTGGACTTTTCTCCGGTTTGAGTGAGGGCTTTGGAGAAAGTAATTAATGGAGTCGATAGAGCTCGTCAAGGTCTACTTGGAGCCAATGCGATGTCTTTTGGAGCCAGCCTTATGGCGAATATTTTCAGAATATACTCGAATCCTGACATAAGATATCCTACGTTTAGTGATCTTGTTTAATGAACAGATCAAATCATAAGTGATCTATTAACAATTGATTTACGAGGCATTTATCAGAGAAATTTTAAGGATAAAATTAATAAATTACGAGAAAAAAAATTCTTTGTCTATTAGACAATAATACAAATTGTCGAGTAAGATTTCAGTCACTTCTTGATGAATTTAGAACAAGTTAATTTATTTAAAAAAATATTTTGTTTTGATCGATCATGGACATGGAGTGATATCAAAAATGGAATGTATCCTACTTCTCATAGATCTGTTAAAGCTTTAATTTACGGAGCTTATAGATTTACTCGAACAAACTATTTACAATCAAATACAACAATAGCTTTAGAAATTACAGGTCAAAAGGATGTTAAATATTTTAAATATGTATAGATTGATTGCATAGGATTAAATAACATGGAACCCAACTTTTGCTTCTATTCGGGTACTTCAACATTACATACACAACTTCGAACTGATGTTGATGATGATAAAAATTGGATAAGTAGTGGTAAGCTTATTCGTATTTTGGCTTCTTCCGATTTTCAAGAATATCCCCGTACGTATTTTGTTATTTCTAATGTTCAATTGCCATCTTATTTGCTGATATTGGGTTCCAAATGGTTACATATTTATTATAATGATGATGAAGTTAAATCTGATAAATTTTGTTGTCAATTTATTCATGATTTGGCACAATACTGTCGTGAAATTGGTCAGCAAGTTCTACAAGAGTAAAATGATCGTGGAAAAATAAAGTATTTTCTCGTCAAATTGACTCGACTATATGAACTTTTAGAAAAAAATGTTGATGAAAGAATTAAACATTTCTCTACAATATTTTCGTCTGAAGTACCGAAAAGCTAACTTATTTTTCGTCAGGTTTGCCAAATATTTTCTGTTTATCTCATAAATAAATAATTTCGGATATGTAAAATAAAGGTGCATTTTTGAAAATTTTCATTGTTGAAGTTTTAGTTAATGACTAATGAATGTTTAAGTTATCCATTTTAGATATCGTCGAAGGTATAAAATTTAATAATCACATCGAACATCAAGCATTCGTTGATAGATTAAAAATTTTATTCTCGCATGAAAATTCAACTCGTACAATTTCGTTTGAAACATCTTCCTTTTTTTGCCTGGGTAAGTTAAGTTAAAATATTTTCATAAGAGTTTTATTTCTCAACTTCTGTCGTATCAGTTGATACTAAAAGCTATTTAGAAATGTCAGATACTCAGTTAGGAGAGACTGTTCCACTTGATTTATTCAATGATCAAATAGAGACTATTATTTTGGATCAAGATGACGAGTTATCAAATGCTGAGCCACAACTAAAACCGTTCGGTTCAATCGTAAGAATAATTCAAAGTTTGAAAATGCTGAAAACATTATTGAAAAATCAATGTGAAACAGCGATTATTTTCATATTAATCCTTCTGAATGGAACTCGAAGTGATGTAATAGAATTTCTAACTAATGAAGAATTTCAACAACGAACAATACATTCATTTTATTTGTTTTTTTATTAATGGAGACCAGCATGAAACCGAACTACGACAGCATTTTCCTCAGCTATTTATTGAATGTTATTCTATAACAGAACGACGTTATGATGAAATTCGAATGGTCTTGTCAAGTGCATGTGATCTTAATATTAAATTTTGTTATCGACGAGCACTAAAAGAAGAAATTCAAGATAACACAGGTCTAACATTCATTTATGAGCACCAACGTTGAAATCTTATAATACTTCAAAGAACTTTTAATAATTATCTTCTCAATGAAATTGATAATCACTAATACTAAATCTTGATTGAATGCTACTACTCAATACAATAGATATTATTGGTTCAGCGTCACAAGTTTATTCATCAGTGGACTAAACATGAGAAATATAAATCTTTTCTTGATTTTCATTAATTCTTTTTTTGTTGTCATTATTAAAAATTCAACATTTGGATAATAGAACATAAACTTTGACAAAGAAAAAAAAAATTTTCCTTAGATTCTCAAAAAAGACAAAACAGAATAGAAAAAAAATAACAGGAGATTTTCTTGTTATACAGTTGTCAATATCAATGTAAGACGTTTCCAAGATATGTTTGAAAACATCTATCTCTTACACTAAAATTCTCAACATATAGAATAATTTTTTTCTTTTTTTGGTTGGGTAGGCGTTTTTTTATTTTTCGCTTAGCTGTTTTTGATTGAACGATCAAAGTTTAGATGTAGATATTGTGCTATTTATAAACGAGAGAACTCTATCAATCCATAGCAGCGTGTTTCAGGTATACTGCTGATTGATTAGTGAATAATCTATGTGATTGATTATATGCTATCTACTATTCTTACAGTGGCCACATACAAATAACTTTGCGAGAGATTAATGTTTATTGCAATTTTTGTTGATAACATTTTATATTGAATCGTAAGAAAGACTATGTCCACATAAATCTATTTATCGAGCTTTCTGTGAATAAACAGATCTTGTTACTAAAGATCAGAATCAAAACAAATAGTTGATATAAAAAACTCTACGACAATAGATTATTAAAAGGATAAAAAATATTAATAACTTCATTGAAAGACTAAAACTGACTTCTATTCAAACAACATATGTTGTTTAATCTTTCGAATTTCTTGCCTTTCAAAACTCAACTAGATTTCAACAGACTATATTGACGAATTCTAAAAATCTCTAAAATCGATTAAATTTTAATAGAATATAGTGGCGAACTCTACATCTTCCTAAACTCAGTTAAATGTCATTAAAGTTCCATATAACTTAATTTAAATGTATGAGATCAATATTTATTCTCATTGTTTTAACTTTTTAAAATTTCAAATCTTTTAATAGTTTTATTTAATTTTGCCTGACACATATATGTCACGATGAAAACAAAAAATAATCAATTTTAGTTTTCATACTATCATCATTGATTGATTAATAGTTTCTATATGGAGACCAGCCTCATTTTTAAACCAACTTATTGCTGATAAAACTTAAGCTGTTCATAAGATTTAATGTGTTTTTGTCAATTATATCACTTAATTATTGACTATAATTATGATACGTATCGTCTGAAACTAGATGAAAATATTTCGTATATGTAATATTGGTCTTTATATCGGTGAAAAATTTTGAGATTACATTGATTATTATGACTAATGACTGTCCAAAAAGAAGACATTCGTTTTGTATATAATATATTTTCCTCTGTTCACTTTGAATAATCTAATTAAATGTAAATTAAAAAGATTGTTTGCTTTTTGGACAAACAACTCGATTGATATGAGCCACAGTTTTTTTTTCTTCGATATTTCGGCATGGTTTATTCTTATATTAACAATAGTTATTCACTTTTCTAGATTACAGAATGAAATTTGAGAATATTGTTAGGTGATCTATTACTCATCTTGAAATGTTATAGTATAGAAGAGATATAAATTTAATTATAATTGACATTATGTTGATCTAGAATTGAATCGAATTCAGATCGAAAGTTGTTCAACAAATATTAAGTTTTTACAATTACAAAAGATAATAGAAGTCCATATTGTTGTATTATACAAATGCAAGGCATTAATTATTTATCAAATCGTTATATTGATTGGACTATTAATCTTGCGAATTAGCTTGAAACTATAATATAACATTTCAGTGGTTGAATAGCTGTCATATTTAATTTGGAGAAAGCTATCATCACTATCAGATGAATGAAACAATCTGATTAAATAGTAATGTATTGTAGACTTTTCTAATTTTAAACGATCTTCTTCTAGTATATTCTCTGTCTGAGTTATTTAATAAATCAAGTCACTTTAAGCTAAGAAGCAGAGCAATATGTTTTTGTCCATGTTTTCTCTTGAAATATTAAAAATTTGACTTTAGAGGAGAACTGAAAAAAAATTTTGAAAAAGATTATAATCATCGAATTCACAAATGTTCTGATTAGAACGAACAACGTTGATCAATATCAAATAAAAGATATTGAAAAACTAGGAAGTACTTGATATTCCCAAAGACGATCCAACATGTATAATTTTTGTACCAATTGTCTTTAGCATCGAAGTTTAATATGTGGAAACTAATCACTATATAAAGAATCTTTTGAATATTTACCTTCAAGGTCAAATCAATAATTAGAGTATTCTTTATATTACAATGAGAGGTGGATTTGTATAGAATATCAATGTCTCAATAGAAACATGTGGTGATATATGAAATATACTTAAATTCTCATATCAAGTATCCATAAGAAAGAGAAATACTTTGTCGCTTGCTTACATGAAGTACAATTATCGATGTTATGGCGAAGATTAAGAGAAGTGTAATTGGAATATGAGACATTATGCAATATACAATTTATTTTTCAAAATTTTTAAGTAGATTTATGTATTCGATTCAGTTCGTTTTTATTTTTACAATTACAAATATCGTTTACTGACATAGGTGATCATTTTAAATATATTAAATTTAAATTTGTAAAAGAACCCTCATGAGAGGGAAACTATGATTAAAAGTGAATTTATATGATATTAAAGTTAGACGAGTTGTTACATTATCAAAGGATATATTTTAGTTTCCTTTAAGTTTTGTGAAATTATTTTGATAATCGAAGATTTTCTTTCTTTTTCTTATAAATAGACTTTTGAATTGAAAGATTTTTACTATGCTAACGATCTGATGGTATTTGATATATTGTTTTCATTCATTCGAAGTTTGAATATGGCTGTTTACTTCTTCTGTATTCTAAAAAATGTTGATTGAAGCGTAGCAAAAGATGCAATATTCTGAAACCGTATAGATGTAATTGTTTGTGCTATTCTTTTTTTTACATTTCAATCAAATATATGGGTGCCAATTTTGTTTTATTAATAATAAACAAATTGTTTTTTTTGATCTTTTTGTTTTCTATAATACCCTTTTCGAAAATCGAATTGATTGACTCTCCATTTCTACTAAAATTATTTTTCCAAACTGATTGACATATATACTTAACAGAAAGAAAAAAAAATCTTTTTAATAAAAACTATTCACATAGAACAAAAAAAATCAAAGAAGAAAAACGAAAATCTTCTTTTAATTAATTAATTAATGTATTTTATTCATATTTGTAACCAGTTTTTTATGCCAAAAGTCATTATGAAGAATAATAGCATCACATTGAATAGAAAAATGTTTTATTGGTATATTTGTAAAACGTTTACTTCCTGAATTATATTTAAACCATTTATCAACCATAATTTCTGTAATTATATTCGGTCCAATACCATACAATTTTTCAATAATATCAGTTTCTGGTATATACATATAAACAGCACGAAATTGAAGACGATGATCACGAAAGAGAAGAACAAAATGACGAGCTTCACTTGATTCAATTTCCTATATTTAAAAATCATTTGAGTTCTTTTATTTTTTAGAAAATATCAAAACATGAAAAACTTACTCGAATAATAATTTCACGTTGTCGTTCATTAGCTGAACCAGCAAGTACAACTTGTTTAAGTGAATTAAGTATTGCTTGTTTATTCGATTTTGTTGATAATAATGTTTGACTTCGAGCTATACGTGCTCCTTGAGAAAGCAAAAAAAAACCCAGACATCATAAATATTATTTCTAACACTTTCTTACCTGTTACTGATGTAGCTAATGATGTCATTGATGTACAAAATTGTGAATCATCAAATGTATCATCCATTAAATTTAATGATCGTCTTTTTGGTGTT